AGCATTTAGCTATTAATATGGGGTAGGGGAAGAATTATCAGCAAATAATATGTTTGGATATTTAAACCTAACTAGTTCAAGTTAAGAAGTCTGAACTTGATCCCATAGCAAAGTGGCTTTCAAGAGGAATCAATCTGGAGACAGCATACAGGATACATTTCAGGAAGAGAAAGACCAGAGACAGAAAGATAATTGGGGAACTTTTAGCACATTTCACACAGATTGCTATAAGAAAGGCCTAGGATGGTGAACGGCAACAGCGGGGACCTGTGTGACGGTATAAACAGAATCAGTTAACAGGGCAACTGGGGCTAGATGAGCTTTTCTTCCTCTTATAAAAACAAATAATGATATCCAGCATATGTTTCATTCATTCAGGCTTAAAATGGGACTGGAGAAATGGATTCTCAAGAATGTTTTGTTTTTGCAGCGGACCCAGGTTCGATTCTCAGTATCCACACATGACAGCTCACAACTGTCTATCACTCTAGCCTCAAGGGATCCAATGCCCTCTTCACACTTGCAAGGGCACCAGGCATGCACATGGTGCACAGACATGCATGTGAGCAAAATGCAGAGACACATAAGAAAGAAGGAAAGAAAGAAAGAAAGAAAGAAAGAAAGAAAGAGAGAAAGAAAGAGAGAGAGAAAGAAAGGAAGACAGACTCGTCACCTCCCCAGAAGCTGACTCCTCCTACTTCCTTCACCAACCAGACAACATATTCAGCTGAAACAGAGGACAACATTTACTAGCTCTCTAAAAACACCAGGAAATCCTCAATGCTGCAATAAATGGGTCACACAATTTCTTCGAAATTCTCATGTCCTCTCTCAATTCTACAAATCCACACTCTAACCAGCTCAAATGTCCCTTTTCCATCAAGTCTTCCCAGGAGCCTTAACTCAAAGTCAGCATTCCCTCCTGCCATTCTGTCTGTCTGTTTTTTAAATAAACATTTTAAAGGCCCCTTTACAGTTATCCCACATCCCCTCAGATAGACTGTCCATTCTTTACAGCAAGCATACTCATCTTAATTCCTCCCTGTTTTCCGTCACACAAAGATCTTAATTTTTGTATATGGCAGTAGCAGAGTGTAAGGTTAAGAATACAGATAACAAAGATAGCATAGTTGACTTTGGATTTTAACTTGGCTCTTCATTAGTTGTGTGCCCTTGGAAAAACTACTTAACCTATATTTCTGTATATTTATGAATTCAGAATAGAGGTTAACAGTACATATTTCATAGGCAGCCAGAGGAAGGCATTACAAGAGTATAAATACTAATAAAAGTGTATTATAAAAAACACTAAAGATAAAAGATACCTTAAAAAAATCACTTCATAGGGTAGCAAACTACTGAATATTTTACAATCTATGCAGGCAAACATAAAAACAAAACAAAACAAAAACATAAAGCCAAAGTTTAAGTCAAAATAGGTACATGAAAATTCTAAGTCAGCTGGCCAAAGGTTGGCTATGACTTTTTAAAACATTTTTTTGGCTATATTTATTTATTGCTGTGTATATGTGCTTGTCCGTGCCATGGTGGACATGTGATGCCAGGAGACAGACAATCCAGGGGGGTCAGTTCTCTCCAGGTATCAAACTCAGGTGACAGGTGCCTTTACCCAGTGAGCCGTATTCCCGCATCGAGTTGAGCCTTATAGTTTGAGAATTTAAGTTCCTTATACTAAGCAGCTGCCTGAACTGGTGCCCTCGCTTCAGCATTTCTCTCATTGCCGCAGCCTTTGTAAAACGCACATGTAATGTCTCCCCACTGCTACAGAATCCTCCATTTTATCCCTTCAGTTTAAGCCTCCTTGGATCGCATACAAAGTCGTCCTTATCTTTCCAGCCCGGCCTCCAGCTTCAGCTCTCAAAGCTCACGGTGAAACCTGAATCACCGAGTCACATCTCAAAGGCTTTTTGTATGCCATGCCCTTCGCCTGTGACACCTGTTTATTATTTACTGGAGTTACAAGGACAGAGTACCACAGACTGGGCAGGTTAAATAACATTCTCTCTTAGTTCAGGGAGTTGGAAGTCCAAAATGAAGGTACTAGAAGGTTTGTTTTCTCCTGAGGCCTGTCTTCTTGGCCTTGTTGATAATTTTTACTTGTATCTTCCTATGCAGGTGTAGTATGTGTCCAATTTTTTTTTTCTTGTAAGCACCCTTGTCACGTTGCACTGGAGCCCTTAAGGGTCTCATTTTAATCATCTCAGAAGCCCTACACAAATTTAGATACATTTTAAGGCAATGAGGGTTAGGTTGGGCTACTACCTAAGAATTTTGAGGACATAATTGAGTCCTTTACAGCTCTTACCCCTTTGCCTTACCCAAGGTAACTCCCATCTGTTTTTCCCAGACTAGTCCAAGCCTTCCCCTCCAGCCCTTTCTCTGTTCCTAGCCCCTGACACTGTTGTGATAGTGCTCAAAACACCAACGTAACTCTGGCTTCTCTTCTGGACACAGTTCTTAACAGTGACGATCATCCTAATCACCCAGGACAGCAACCTACAGAAAGTATTTAACAAACATTTGATGAGAAGCAGAAGCAGAACATGGACCTTAAAGTAAAAGATGTACAGGTTCAAATCCCAGTTCTGCTGTTTCCTCACCGAGGTAGGGAAGTCACTTAATGTTGAGTTTCCATCTAAATAAAGAGTTGCAATAATGCACGATTGACTTAGAATAAAACTACTCAGGTTTTGTTACGCAGTTAAGAGCTTAAATGTTGACGTGAAGGTTGGATCCTGGCTGGTTTGACAGCCACTTCTATCATTCAGTAATTAAATAATTTTGAGTACATTCATTATTCAGCTTTAGTTGCCTATCTGTTTAAAAAAAAAAAAAAGCCGACAAGCTCAGATGGTGCTGTTTGGCCATGATAACGAGGTAAAACATTCAGTGGGGTGTGCAGCACATTGCATTCTTTCTATGCTCCTTATTACTGCTATCACGAGAGCACTGCAGGTCTGAACACATGTGACTGTCACGTCAATACTCAGCTTTCTTTCCAACAAAGTAGGATAACTTAATGAGGTTCAAAAGCTGGTCCAGGGCCAGCAAGGCTGGGAGATAAAGGTACATGCCACCAAGACTGACACCCTGAGTTTGATCTCCAAGACCCACACAGGAGAAAGAGAAAACCAAATCCTACAAGTTGTCCTCTGATTTCTACATACATTCACGCAGGCGTGCTCCCAGGCACACATGCACAGCAACAAACAAACAAACAAACAAACAAACAAATGTAATTTTACAAATGAGACAAGCACAGTAGCACACAACTTTAATCTCAGCACTCAAGAATCAGAGGCAGGCAGATTTCTGTGAGTTCGGGGTCAGCCAGAGCTACATAGTGAAACTGTTTCAAAAAAAGTAAAACAAGAAAAACAACAAATCCAAAGCAAAACAAAAGGAACCAGACAGATGATGTAAATGAGCTGTGAGAAGGAAAGGAGCAAGAACTACATCCCCCGCCCCTCACATTGGGTCTAATATAGTCTGAGCAATGAAGTAAAAAACAGTAAAAGGCAAATTTCCATAGTCTTTATGACTACGGATGTTAGACATTCATAGGGAAGAATAACACTGCTTTGTGACTATGGATGTTAAGTATTCACAATGAAGAATAATAATCATAGAACCATAAAACCTGTGAACTAGAAAGAACCTTTGTGATACAAGTCCAGTCCTATCTTTTTTTTTTAAGACATAAATGCATCCAGGTAGATTTGGAATGAGCTTTAGTGTCTTCATGAGCAGCTCTATGAGCGACGAGACTAGCAGACAGAGTGTACAATTTGTTCAGAGTGCTAAAGTAGGGGTTATGGATGTACTCATAGCCAAAGAATGCTAGAACTAGTACTAGGAAACTAAGAAACTTCTTTTTACCCATTCTTTTTAACCTGATTCATATAACTCTGAAGCAAAGCAGGTCTAGGTGTAAATCTTGACGTGCAACATAAAGTCTTCTGAGTCTCACGGAATGAACAACTAGTGAGCAATGAAGTGATTAAGTGAGCCATGTACATCACATAAGTAAAACTGGGTATGATTAAAAACACTGTCTTTCACATAGGTATGTGTGTGCTGGTTAAATGTCTGAGGCTTGGATACTACCTAACTTTAAACATAGAAAGCTGGATAGTTGCTGAGATAATGAAGTGCCTTTGTGTCCTTCCCCACCACCAAATGTCCTTCACAATTTGTTTTCAAGTGTCATGTCACCACCATTAATATGCTATTTGGAGCTCATTGTAGCTGAGACTTTTAATAGGACAGCAAAGATTTGAAAGGTCACAAACATTGTTACTAAGGTAAAGAGAGAACTTTGAGTCTAGCTCATTATGTTCCGTGGTCCATATAAGCTAGGTGAATTTCCAGCAAAACATTACCACCTTTCCTGATGCAGAAAAAGATGCCTAAGTACGTGATTGACTTCACTGCCATAATCATGATTTAAAAAAAAAAATGTTTGGGACTCAAAAGTGCTGGCACTAGAAAACACACCTGCCAATATTCATTCTTTTCGCTTCAATCTAAAGTCAGTGTCTCTCTGTCTCTCTTTCTTTTAAAAGACATGTGGAGTCTAGTTCCAAATCAATTGCAAAGAAAAACCCAATAAAGAAAACGCTCTTTCTAGTGTCCTCTCCTCCCATTTGCATCACAGATGGCCACCGAGAGCTTAAGGTTTAACGTCCGGACACTAAAGCCACTCATCCCAAAACGACCGAGCTCCAGATGGGATGCTGTCTGGCAAAGGATGGGAAGCTGCCAATCTTCAAAGGTGCAGATAGGGTGAATCCCGGAGGCTAGCGCCCAGCTCCCATCACTTTGCACCCACACTTGGGAAACATTCCTTTCCCATCTCGGGTCGGGATTCTTCCGTGAGTGACCTCCGGGGACCAGAGGGACGCGGGACAGGAAGGCTTCTCTGCCTTTGGGAGAAGTTGACAAGGGCAAATTCGAATCGCACGCGGGAGCTTACTCACGGGAATGGCCCGGCGTCCTCGCTCCTCCGCTCGCACTCGCTGGGGAAGAAGCCCCTAACACTGCGGCAGCCTGAGAGCAGCAGGTGAAGCTGCCGCCGCCGCAGCTAACCCCCGGGCGTGGCAGGAACTGGCAGGCGCCCTCACATCATCAACGGGCGACCTTGGAGCTGCAGTGACGCCGGTTCAATGGCAGCCCCCACCCAGCTAAGGAAACTAAAAGGAGACCCATTCTCCCAACAGCCTTTGAGGCCCTAGCGCATGGCCCTCTGGGAACTGTAGTTTCCTTTCTGTCCCGCCTACAGCTCGAGGGCCCCGCCTCCTCACTACAGAGCTAGACGCTGGAGGCGCGGTGGGGAGGAGCAGCGGGCCCGGACCCCGCTGGGGTGGGGCGAATCCTGTCCCGGCCGGTTGCCCCGGACTAGGGCAGAGGTCCAGGCCGACAGGCCTTCTTGCGGCCGTGCTGCTCTTTTGTGCCTTGAGGTTTGCCCTGGAAGCGGGCCTCGAGTTTTTGCCTCGCCTCTCTGCGAAGCAGGTCCCGGGGCTCGCGCGTGTCACCTCCCCTCAGCGCCTGCTGCCTGGAGAATCGCTGGCCTTGGTCACCGCCTAGGTAATGAGGGGAGGCAGGCGGGCAGGGGATGGTGAAGGGACCCGGGGAGCGACAGGGATCGCAGCTCGGTAGGAGTACAGAGGAAGGCTGCAAGGCCAGTCCTCGCCGCCAGAGTTGACATGGACGGCCGAACAGCGGCCGGAGTCTGCGGAAGCCCGCTCCCGCTGTGCGTGCCTCCGCACCGGGCCCCGGGCTCTCGCTTGTCCAGCGGCCGTGCCAGGTGCAGGAGCTCAGCCACCGCCGCCCCGCGCCCCCAGCTCTCACCTTTGTTGGGGCGCACAGGCCGGGCGACTTCCCAAGCTGAAGACACTCTAGCTCCAGCCCTGTCTGCTCCAAGACTTCGAAGGGACCTTTTCCCAAATTAAATGTCCAGGCGTCGTTTGTCTTCAGTGTTTACATTTAATGTCGTGTTTTCCCCTCGTAGGCTTGTTATGTCAAATACCTTTCCTCCAAACTTGATCACGATTTGTGACAGCACCTACATAGCACAGTGGTTGGCACTTCGTAAATATTTGTTGAAACCATGAGTCATGATACTAAGTTTGGAAAATTGTATTGAGCTTTGTGCATCGCTATGATCTTGGTTAAGGTTTTATGAGATTTCACCTTGAGAATTACTGTAATTTTGAAGCCTAACAAAGAGTATTGGTAGGTTTTCTGTTTTTGTTTTTGTTAGCATTTCCTGTAACAGTAGACCATTGAATGCCTAGATTATCTCAAAACATATGTATTATGTAAATACATAGCCCCTTTGGTGTCCATTTAAAGTGTTAGCCTTTCAAATGAAAGACTTTGGGTATGACTTCTATATTATGCAACGAATTAGATTATTTATAAACCTTTATTGTGGTTAGGTTTTTAAGTACAATTGCAAGGGCCTACACTGAGGTACTGCTCCGTAAACTGAGGTACTCATCAATATGTTTAGAAATACAGGCTTCTTAAATGTGTATACACACACAAATACATACACACACACATATTTTAAAGATGGGGTCTTGCTGGGCAGTGGTGGTGCACCCCTTTAATCCCAGCACTTGGGAGGCAGAGGCAGGTGGATTTCTGAGTTCGAGGCCAGCCTGGTCTACAGAGTAAGTTCCAGGACAGCCAGGGCTACACAGAGAAACCCTGTCTTGAAACCCCGCCCCCCCCCCAAAATAAAGATGGGGTCTCACTATGTTGATATCACTAGATTGCTTAGAACTCACAAAAATCAGTTTGCTTCTGTCTCTGCCTCTTGAACGCTGGAATTAAAGGCATGTTCCACCAAAGCCTCAGCAAGCTTTTTTATTTATTTTTTAAGGATTTATAATCTTAGCATAATAGCAAAAACTAATAGCAAATCTTTCATTCAACTCATTTGCCAGGTGCAATTGCTGCCTTGACCTCAAAATGTCTTGAAAAATTATCTGTTAAGAGTGTGGCATACCAAAGGTAAAACTTTGGTTTTAACCACCCCACTGGTAGTAATAGTTCTAGAAGACTGTGACCTGATTTTTTTCAAATCGTTTTGTTGTTTAAAACAACAAACTCAGTAACACCTTGCTGATACTAAGTGTAAAGCAGATACAGAATCATGGTAACCACAAAAAATAAGTTAATCACCAGACCTTTCTGCCTCAGAAAGTCAGCAGGAGGTCAGGGCCTGGTGTTAATTACTAGTGTGTGTGTGTGTGTGTGTGTAGGTGTCTTCTGGGCTCACCAGTGCCTATCCCATAGCCGCTATTCATTAAGTATGTTAATACAAACTTTCTCTGAATGGTTTCTTTCCTTATTTAGGTATTACCTTAGAATAGATTAATAAAAGTGAGCTTTTACTGGCTCACAAGCTGTGAATATTTTCACTGTTATTCAGAAGTCCCCAGCTTGCTTTTCCCACGAGCTTCAATTTTTTGTCTTAAAGTGTTGCACTTGTCTTTGTTGTTGTTTGTTTGTTTTTTGAGACAGTTCCCTTGTGTTTTCCTAGCTGTCCTGGAATTAGCTTTGTAGACCAGGCTAGCCTTGAACTCTGCCTCCTGAGTTCTGGGATTAAAGGCATGTACCACCATTGCCCCGCGCCTGTCTTTTATATCCTAGAATGTATATAAAATGTTGTTTACATTCATTTGCTCTCTGTCATCCTGGAGGATAGACAGCACAGGCATCATTGTCCTCATCTCATACCCAGCCTCCCACCCCCATGCCTTAAGTTGGCACTAATCCCTTGGCAGGTGACATGAGTAAGTTTTCCAGTCCTTCTTTTCCTTCCTCTACCTTTGGCTTGCAGAGGTTGTCCTGAGAAAATCCACTTCTTCCCTAAGCAATAAAATTGGATATTACTTTATAACATCTATGGTCTATAAAATCTTCCTTTCCTCATTTTGTTTAGCTATTTGTGGATGCCTTGATCAAGTATGGGCTTTGACTAAGATGAAATAATGACACCAGTTTCAAGAGATGTTTAGAAAGCACTAGTCACCACTAGCAAATACTGCCCTCTCTATTGAAAAAGAAAGACCCAGAAGATTTGGGTGCTCGGTTTATAGCTCCATGAACTGAAGAAATTGCCATGCAAAATTCTGAATCTATCAATGAAAATGGACGAGTTATTTGCATAATAAAAATGCATAATTTTGTGTCTGTCAGCAGTTGAGAATGTCATTTTTACATGAAAACTACAAAGTGTCTTTCTTAAGCATGTGGCAACAAGAGTTTGTTCATTTTAGCCCATTACAAACCCTGTTTCAGATTTGTGAATCCTGGACCTCAAATGAGTTAGGTGGTTAGTCAGAAATCTTTGGAGATTCTCAAAGTTTACTTGTAAATAGAGTCATTAGAGATTCTTAGGATTTATTTGTGAGTGGTACTACTTACTTAAAGAGGATCCAAAATTGCTTTCATATTTGTTCAGGGCAGAAAAAGATAGGAGAGATGTAGTAACTTGAGACTTTGGAAATAGAAACTCTCTTTTGCTTTCTGCCTTTCAGGAGCCATGTCAGAACAATGCTTTTTAAAGATACTCAGAGATGGTACTAGCATTTGTGTTAATGAGCAGCTGTCTAAATGTCTGATAAATTATGACATCTAGTTCTTCAAGGAGTTTATGTAAATCTAAATAATTTTGCTTTTGTTTTTATAGTGGGATATATCTGCAACTTGAAGGAAAGATAAAGGAAAAATCTTCTTTGGAATAGATGGGATTTTGTCACTTTCTGTGAACTAAAGCGATTCAATGTCTCTTTTGGTAAGTTTTGTTATAATTTTATACCATTGGAGTAGTTAGATCTGGAATGAAAGACACTCAGATTAAGCTCTGAGGTGCTTTGACCTGAATGACCTGTGGTCTTGAGAACAATGTGAACTCTCATTGAGTTTTGTCTTTTTCAAAATAAGTTTCTCCTATACTGGTTTTAAATATACCCACTATTCAATTCTTTGTCCCAAACCCATTTTTTTTTATCATGTATTTTTCTTAGATGCCAGACATATCTAGTTAACTATGCATTTTCTTTTAAAACTTCAAAAATTCTTTTAATAAAATTCCACATGTCCCAAGGCAGGTAAGATAGCATTTAAAAGAAACCTTTGACTTAATCAGACAAAAAAAGTTTGAATCATGACATTATGTGAGCTACAGATGGAATATATTTGTTTGTGTGCTAGATATACGGCATCTGCTTTAGATTAAGTAGCTTGTAGACTTTCTGTTATATACAACATAGTGTTTGGAAAGGGGGAGAATAATATTAAGACAGCAATCTTCCCCTTTAAACTGTGGGACCTTGGCAGGACAGACAGCATCCTCATTTAAGTTTGCTCATGGTTGCCAAAAATTAGAGCCAGTGTTCAGACTCATGCCTGACATCTACCCAGGCCGAGAGATAGAACTGTGCAGTTAGGAGACTATAGTTGTTCTTTATGGGAAAAAAATATATATATATATTTGTATAAATATATATGTATATATATTTATATACACATTTGCTTTAAATGTGTGTATCTGGAAAATATATTAAAATGCTTCATTCTTTAAAGCAAAGTCAGCAAACACTTTCTGTAAAGGCCAGAAGATGATAAAACATGCTACTCTTCTTCTGCCCTAGTAGCTCAAAAGCAGCCATCAGCAGTGTGGAAATGAATTTAAAAAAAAAAACCTAAAACCTGAATGTGAACTGGAGCAGAGCTTGTTGATCCCTGTCCTAAAGGAATGAGAAGAGTCACAGTTTTACGTCATGCTGGAGTGAGAAAAGACTGTAGTTGAGTGCTCTTCATCAGTCCTGACATCTGAATCCGAGACTCCCAGTGCGGAACTCACTTTAAAATAATTAGATCGGTCTAGCTGGAAAACACTAGTTGTTGAGAAATTTTGGTGCGTTATAAAAGAAAGAATGTGATTATTTCGAGTAACTGACAGTAGTGTTAATGGGTGGGCTTTGAGAATCACCTGATGCTGTGTTTGGTGCTCATATAAGGGAATGGTGATCAGATACTAGAGAATCATTTACTGTAAAAGTCTTTCATGTGCTTTTAACTTTTTTCTTCCTAAATAGATCAGTATCATTCCACTAATTGCTGGTGGGATAGATAACGTAGATATTACATTTCATTATGGGCAATACCTGATAGTAGAACCATGAATTGATGTTCAGGAAAATGTAAATTTTGGTAATAGAAGCAAGTCTCTTAATTTGCTTTGAGTTGAAGATGTTTGTCACCTTAAGAAACAAAATAGATTATAAATATATTCAATGTCTTCATAATTAAATAAATGGTCTAATGTAGAAAATCATGTTTCCTATATTCAAAAAGGAGTATATCTATCCGAGAAAAAGATAAAAACTATTGGAACAGCAAAATAGTTTTTAGCTTAATAGTCAGAAGATGATTATTTTTTGCCAGATATTTAGGAATTTGCCAGATTTATGAGGTGCTAAAGGACTTATAAATTAAGATCAACAGTTAAAATAGATTTATAACCTCAAGAAAAGTGAAGGCAAGGAGCAGAGGTGGCACTGAGAACAATTTTAATGGACTAACGTTACCGTCTGTGCACCTGGCTTCTTCCCTGTCCCGTCTCCATCAGTACCTCCATTTGTGTTGGTTTTTTGATTCTGCTTCCAGCCCTGGATCCTGGTCTTTTGTATACACAAGCCAGCCCTGTGTGTGTGTCCCATGCTTTTCACTTATCTCAAGTATTTCTGACTTCCAGGATTGTTTCTGTGCTTCACGAACACGAGTTGAGTCACTCAGACCTGAAAAACAGTCTGAAACCAGTATCCATCAATACTTGGTAAGAAAATGGTTGAACACAGTCAGTGCTCTTCCTTTGCCTTCTGTGATACTCTTTACTGACTCTTCTTTTTCCTACTGGTCTCCATGAGTCTGTAACTAACCTCTTCTTAACCCATTCTTTCTGAGCAGTGTCATAGATTCCTGTGGTTTCAGTTGCTGAGGTTTCACGTTGTCCTGGAGCTTTCTCGGTTGTTCTAAGAGGAACATGGTGATTACCAGACTTGCTCTTCCCTGGGCCCTGGGATTATCTACAGAATACATCTGATTAGATTGTTTTTCCAGGGTTTTTCTACTGATTTGAGTGAAACTTTAGTCTGCTTCCAAATCCTTCCATCCCCCATACATTTCACTTTGGCTAATGAAAGCGTGACTATTTCTCCTACATACTAGGAATTCTGGCATTCTCCTCATGGTGCCTGTCTTCCTACTTCTCCGTCATCTCCATGTGGCCTGTACTCTGTGCATACTTGCAGCCTTCAGTCCTGTTCCAGGATGCTCACTCATGCCGTTTTGAAGCCAATGGGTACAGTCCAAATCTCTCAGCATGATAGAGACTCTCACTGGTATTGTGTACGGCCAGTGTTTGAATTTCCTTTCTTACTGGGAATATTTTCTCCTCTCTGCTTGAAATGCCCTTGTTTCTGCCTTCCCCTGAAATTTCTCCTCATCTGTAAAGAATTGATTCCATTTTGTATCTGTAAACTCGTCCGCTAGATCCTTTTATTTAATTGTGCTGTCACCTGTCCAGGACATTTTCATGGAACACTTGTTCCTGTACTGTCTTATAGTGAGTGAGGTCCGTGTCTCTTCAAGCATAACGTGATCCCCATGGAAGGGGCACTCGTCTTACTCATCTTTGTCTGACATACTAAGCAATAGAAAGGGTTAGACTTGGTAATATATCTCTGAAATCTTTACCCCTCTTAATCTTTAATTTATACTACAAATTTTCCTATACAGTCAAATCTGCTTTGAAAATTTTGTTACAGCATAAGGTAATTCCAGTTATTTTTGCTTATAGTTTAATCTCAGGCCTGTAGTATGCATATTTTAATAAATTCTGGTGGTGGTCTTTCCTACCACTGACCATTTAAGTTCCTGATAAACACACACACACACGCACACGCACACGCACACACCCTTACCCTTCTATATTGGGGGCCAGCAAGTAGCATTACAATGAACAGCAAAAGACAAAACCTCACACAGGCCTGCCTTTAACCAGTGCCATTTTTATTCACCAAAATTCCATCTTCAAGGTACATGCCTTTACATATAGTAGGAGGTGGTCTCTAACCCTTTCTATCCTTCAGACTGAGGTGACTCAGGCACATGACTTGTCTCTGTGCTGTTACTGAGCCCACAAACTCTAGAAATTTCCATGCTAGTATCCTTCTAACCTCTAGGTTTGGACCCCTATTGTATTTTAAGTTGGATAAAAAAATCTTCAGCGACAGAAGCAGAGGCCTGACTTGAAGTTTCATGTGGAAAAGAAAACTGGATAATTCTGGGATTGAAACTGGTACCTAGAGGTTAGAGAAGTGTAGCGTATAATTATTAAAAAACAATCTATGCTAAAGCTGGCTACGCGGTCTTCCCTCCCCCACTGGGAGCTGCAAGCCTCTGTCTTCCCAGGTTCCCACAGTAAGCCTGCCACCAAACAGCTCACATTTTCCAAGCCATCCTTCCCCTGCAGCTAGCCTGCTGAGACTGGCTGCTGCTGGCTACTTAAAATGAAAACTCTAGAGCCTTATAATTTATCAGCAAGATTTATAACAGTAAATCCTCAACCCCCCAAATGCACACACAAAGAACTCAAAACTCAATTGTTATGATACAACCTGCACATCTAGATTGGACGAATGTGCCCTACATTATTCCATTGCCCTTTTATGATGTCCATAGCTACCTGTGGCTATTTCAGGCCACATGCCTCTGGTTTGTCACCCTCTCCTGTAGGTTCCATCTTGTCTCCTCACTAAAACTTTCAGCCCTGCCTTCTTTTTCCATTGCCCAATCATAGGCTCTACCTTATCAAATTAAAATTTTACCTGACCTCCTGTGTACAGACAATCCACAGAGAAGGCCTCGCTGGGTTGCTGCTTAAAAGAGCAGTATCAGTTGTCCCCTATTGGTGACCTGTAGCTTTTTGTCAGGCTGAATACTTACTGTACACTAGATTAAATGTTAGGTGAAAATGGTACAAATGTAAGGACTTTGACATCTGACATTAGTTTCCCATTATACATTATAAAACTGCTAATTATGATTTCCCATGATACTTCACTTAAGCCTGATGATGCTAAAGATATATTAGTCTAAACAGTGCAGTTAATAAGAATATGCCCCTATATTCTGGCTAAATCCAGTTTCTGACTCTGAGATAACTAAGGAGCAGACTTCAATACATGGTTTAAAAAACAAACCAGTGAACCATCTTCTGTGAAGTGTTTTTAGAGAAATCTACCAGATTTTTCTGCTTAAATTGGGCCTTTTGCATCTTCAGGAAGTCATTAAACAATCTTCTGAGATAAAGATAGTTGTTTTTAAATGTGAAATATCCCCATAGCTCATGTTTGAGCACTTGGTCCTTAGCTGGTGGTGCTGTTTGGGAAGGCTATTGAACCGATAGGAAGTAGAGCCTTGATAGGAGTCCATCCCTGGGAGGGAGCCTTGAGGTTTTATGGCCTGGCGTGGCTTAAATTTTTTCAACTCCTACTTTTAATATGGGTTCTTAAATGCTTTGCCCTCCCTTCTAGCCTATCACTGCCCAGAGGTAGTGGAAGAAAGAGTAGTAGGACACGGGGTAGTAGACCCGTTTAGAATTGGTTTTTGGAGCAAATCTAATCTGCATTGTCAGGATATATACCAGCAGTCCAGTTCAGTAGTGTCAGGATAGCAAACACAAATCAGCAGCGGTGGCACAACCCAGCAGAAACAGGAAGGCTTCCACTGAACCAGCACAAGTCAGCAGGAGTGACCAGGACCAGCAGGGACACCAGGAGAAGTTCTCTACTGTGCTTCTCTCAATGAAATAAAGATCAGCAAAAACCAAGACATGAGACCAATGAAGTTTTACAAAGTTAGCTTTGCGAGCCTGTCATTACTGTCCATTGACTCTTATTTATACTCCCTCCAAACACCATGTGTCCTCCCATGGGAAAACTCCACGGGAGTCTGTATCTGCTGACATTGTCATTCTGCCAATCCACCCGAGTCCACAAAAGCAACAAGAAGCTGCTAGAACACCACCAGAATTTTGTGTGTTTCAATCTATAAATTTACAACAAATTATGACCATTAAGTTTAAAGAATGACAAGGTGTACCAATACCATCCATATGTTGGATCCTTCTTAATATCGTGTGTCCTTTCATGTATTTGCTTTAGCTAAATATCCTCTCACCTGCGTCTGCTTCAGGGCAACACTCCTTCACATGTCTGCTCCAGCAAAACACCATCAGACACAACTGACTTTTCAAAGAGCCCATAAGTTTCCATTTCAGCCTCTTCTCCCTCTGCTCCTCACCTCTGAGGCAGTTGTGATAAGCCAGCCTCCTGCTTCTACAATCCTGCTTTTGCTGCTGCGGTAGTTCCTTTGGAACTGTAAACCAAAGTAAACCCTTTCTTCCTAAGTTAGCTTTTGTCAGGATATTCTATCAAAGCAACAGACATGAAATTAAGACACAGAGCCTGCCATAACTTTGCTTTTTAGTTCTCTAGTTGTTAAATTGCTAGGAGAAGTGAGGTTAGTTTGAGATGTGTTTCTGTCAACCCATGCTGTCTTCTTGTGATTACTGTGACATTTTCTTCATGGCTCGTATTTCCTCTGTCAATTTTATCTCAGCCTCTTCTGGGAAGAAACATCAAACTTGTTGCTTTGAAGTATTCTATTTTTTTGAAAATTTGTTCTGTTGTCAGGTATGATGGCTTGTGACTGTACTACTAACACTTGAGAGATTGCAACAGAAGAATTGCTAGAGGTTCAAGATACTCCCTAGCCAGTATCTGGGCTAAGGAGTGAAACCTTTCCTTTAAAAAAAAAGAAAGGAAGAAACAAAGAAATAAAGAAACGAAGGAAGGAAGAAAAGAGGAAGAGAAAGCAAAACTAGAGAAGGGAAGACTGGAAGTATTGGATGTACACTTGCTCTTAAGTGAGTTAGGAGTTAACTACGTGTTCATAGCAAGGCAGACTGGGGCAAGAGGAGACTTTAGGTTTTGGAGCTAGACCCTGTCTCAAAAACAACAAACAAAAACAAACCCAGCAAACAAAAAAGACCCTTGGGCTTTGAATATTTGCTTGTGACATCTGTATCTTGTTCTAAGAAGACTATTTCCGTCATGCAGGTGGGCTGATTAGCTGATCTCAGCCTTTTTATTTTATGTGTGCTTAGCCTGCATGTGTGACTGTGTGCCATATGCATGAAGTGCCTACAGAGGCCGGAAGAGACCATTGGATTGGGACTATAGTTACAGGTGTCACTCCAGTTATAGTTAGCTGCCATGTGGGTGTTGGGAATTGAACCTGTGTCCTCTAGAAGAGCAGCAAATGCTCTTAACCACTGAGCTATGTCTGCCCCCTGCCATTTTATAAGTTATGAAAATAAACTTTGGAGCTTATGTCTCTAGCGTTTTTAGCAGTCTTACAGATTGATATCACTTTAAAATTTTAAGATGTTATACACTCTTCTTTTTATTGTATTTTTTCTTTACATCTGTTTATCTGAATGCTTCCTGTTCTAAAGAAACCAAATTAACTTATGATATCATCCCACCCCAAATTGGGCTTATTTTCACTTGTATGGTAGAGTTCTCTCCCATCCCCCCTTGTGCTTCACCATAAATAAAGTGTTATCAGTCTGCTCTCAAGTTTAGGAAACATACTTGCCACTATTTAAATAACTCCATCTATTGGCTTTAAATCCACCTATTTCTCCTGATTAAAGACTTAGATATGAATGTAGTTAGCACAATTCCTCACACACAGTACTGTTGGTTCTCCACTCCCTTCCCGCCTCCTTGGCGGCGGTAACAAGATTCTTGCCACCTGCTAGCTCCTGTAAAGGCTCCTTAGTGTCCTTTAGGACACCCACATGGATATCATATTATGCCGGTAGGTTAGGGCTCCTCTTTCTGCTTCATGTGTGATATTTCACTGCTGCTATATTTAGATACAAACTTGACTCTGACTCCAGAGCACCCCCATGAGACCTCGCATTGCTGCGAGCACCTTCAGTTGGGAGGCCTGTAACACTGGGCTCCCGTCTCCTTGTTTTTCTCTTTGACCTTCTCTTACTTCATTTTATTCTATGAAAGACTTCTTCAGCTAGACTGCTAATACAGAGTGTATACCTCAGACTCAAGGCAAGAACACAAGCCTAGAATATCCCTCACAGGTTCTTGCAGTTCCTTCCTTGAACACTTATCAATTATCTATTCTTAGAACCTTCTAGAAGTTTTACTAAAAATGAAGTAGAAAGTATGTCTTGCTCTTGTTCATATGTTTTTCCTGCCTTTCTGTCTTGAGGCTGAAACCTAACATCAGTTAGCAAGTGCTAAATTCCTTCTAGATCTTAAAATATTCTTTTCAGTCACCTTCCAGTACCTTCCCGGTGACTGTCAATATTTTCTGTTGGGATAGGGTGATCAAATTGGGGGACTAATGATATTTATTCTGTTTTATTTTTATGGTGTAAACAAATGCAGGTTGATGAGCCAGCCATTTCCTGGTCCCCTCCATCTGCTAGAGCCAGTGAAGTGATATGCTCCACTAATGTCTCTCACTATGAACTGCAAGTGGAACTAGGTAATGATGCTGGACTTCACACGTCTTCAGTGTTGGAAACTGTAGCACACAGATTATTTTATAGGCATGCCTTTCTTCCTTGTCACCTACAGCATAACATTGGATTTTTTGGGGAATGGCCTGGGTTGATGTGTTTGGGAGTGAGGTGTTTGAGTACTGGGATGTCACTAGTGCTGAGTGCTTTCATTTTCTTGGTGGACTTGGAAGGGCTGGGAGGTTTAAATTTTGCTGAAGTGCATAGTGTCCAGTCCTCCTGCTTTGATTGTTGTCATGGGTTTTATGTGTGACTGCAGGAAGAGGGTTTGACGACTTGACCTCTGTTCATCTTGCACGGCACACTCCTACAGGCACACTGGTAACTGTAAAGATCACAGACCTGGAAGCCTGCACTGAGGAACGTCTGAAAGCGTTACAGGTACTAATACAAAGGAAGGAAGGGTTGGCTGTGATTTCTGTTTGAGAGGATTGTATCATCTGTAAGAAATGTTGTGTCTCCAACTGATAGTTCTGTTAAAGAAAATAAATTTAACTGAGTCATACAGTTATCAGATTGGGAAGAACACATGGAAGCAAGATGCGTTAGCTGATAGATCAAGTATATTCAGACTTTGGCAAATACTTCAAATTCTTCAAGTGAGTGGCATACAGTGTTACGTTGAAGACTGGCAACACCCTCAGTCAGTCTAGTGACAAACAGGAAAGGACAGGAGTTTCTTTTCTATCGTTTAAGAAAAATTAACCTCAGAACTGGTAAATTTTAGTGGGATTATATTTCAGGCATATACAATTACTTTGTTGTTCCTAATAATTTTTTTGTACAAAGGGGAAATTTATTTTACTCTTGTCTCAAATTCTAAAATATTTATATGAGGGTGAGGAGATGTCTCAGCAAGTGAAGGTGCTTATTCCAAACCTCATGACCTGAGTTTGACCTCTGGAGCCCACATGATGAGAAAGAGAAGCAATTCCTGCAAGATGCCTCTAACCTCCACCTGTAGACTGTGTCATGTGCGTGTCCCTCCCCAGCAAATAAGTAAATAAATGTAAAAACATCTTTAAAACAGGCAGGCAGGCAGGCAGGCAGGCAGGTAGATAGCATATCGGGGGAAGATTGGGAGAAACTGTGCCAGAATATTACAGTGGTTCTCTCCATGATTTCCCTGGCCTGTGTGCTTCCTTCACTGTATGCTTCTGGACAAGCAGAATGCTTTCTGACATTTTAAAAGTACCTTATAAACTACAAGTCAGTGTCATGTGTTTTCTGGAGCAGCTATGACATTTAGAAGCAGAAGCTAACATGCTTCCTTGGGTATTAGGCACAATCACTGCTTATTGAGAAAGAAAAAGGTGACGTTTAAACCTCTTTTCTCTTGTACATTTATCCTAGAGAGCGGTGATTTTATCTCACTTTTTCCAACATCCCAATATTACAACTTATTGGACGGTTTTTACTGTTGGCAGCTGGCTTTGGGTTATTTCTCCATTTATGGCCTATGGTAAGAAAATGGTTTTAAGTAAAAAAACTAATTGTTTAACATGGGTGGTATCATTGTAAACATGTAGTGAGCTATGTGTCTATCATTCTCTACTTTTAATTTGTAGATTTAGTGGACAGTTCTAGATTTCATACTATATTCTGCTTTTTCTCTTTTTGAGTAGAATGGGGATGGTGATCCACCAACTGCCGTTGATTCTCTAAAAGCGCTGCTCTCCCTCAGCTCCCTTCTCTCTCTGACTAGAGAGTAGCTGTTGTTGGGCAGGCAGAGATCGGTTCCCCACCTCAGCACACTGTCCTTGCCTCTGCTTCACTGTCCTATGAACTGCTGTCAGGGAATTGTAGACACCAGGTGTGTGCCCAGCTTCCTTCCTGTGCTTCTTAGAGGAGGAAGTCACTCACGCTTTCTGTTCTGATAAGCCTAGGTGCTTAACTACTCACTGTTCAGTAACTGTGCTAAACAAACCACAGTGGATTCCAGAACAAACCACAGTGGATTCCAGAGCTTCAGTCTTCAGAGCAGCTCGTGTGAATTACCTCTAGATTTAAAATATCACATTTACACATTTTTATTCAACACTGAAAAATACTGTTTTAAAACGTCACTAAAAGGAGTGTATGTGTGTTGCGTGTGTGTGTGGTGTCAGTGTGGTTGACATACAGGGCCTTGAGCAGGGTACACAAATGCTCTGCCTCTTATATTTATATTCCCAGCCCCTCCAAAAAAAAAAAATAACAAGGAAGGAGCAAGAGGGGGCTGGGAACCAAGGATTAGGATTAAAGATTTCTAGCCAGGTCTGGTGGCACAGTGGCTCAAAACTATAAGCTACTTAGGAAGCTGAGATGAAAGGAACACAAGTCAAGCCTGCCTGAGCTATAGACTAAGTTCAAGGCCAACCTCAGCAACTTAAATGTGATTCTACTTTAAAATTAAAAATGGAGAGAGAGCTGGGGATATAGCACAGTAGTAGCATGTATGGGGTTCTAGATTCAAGCCTCAGTTCTATTTTGTGATGGTGATGTGATGGTGATGATTGGTGATGATAATGGTGATGGGATGATGATAGTGATTTTGGTGATTATGGTGATTGTGATCATGGTGATGATTCTTGAAGGGAAATTGTATTTGCATGGGAAATTGGCTATACTCAAAAAATAAGAGATGTTTGTGTGCTTATGGTTGAAAAGAATATTTAAAGCATAGTTGAAAGTAAAATCATTAAGAGTTCATCTGAATACATCTGGGCTTTCTTTCAGGTTCAGCAAGTCAGCTCCTAAAGACCTACTTTCCTGATGGAATGAGTGAAACTTTAATAAGAAACATTCTCTTTGGAGCAATACGAGGGTTGAACTATCTGCACAAAAATGGCTGTATCCATAGGTATTTGCTTATTTACAGTGTACACAAATGAAAGAATTTTAAAAGAAGTTATCCAGGGAAACTTTTGTAAAGAGCAGTAAAGTGTTAGAAAAGGAGGGATAAGAAATAAATGAAAATTGAAGAAGATAACCAGTAGATATCTAACCAGTAGATGACAGTGGTGCCTACCACTCCTGTCAGTTCACCAGAACTGTTCACGCCACAGTGTGCATGCTGGGGTGGGAGGGTGGAGAGCATGTCGTAGTGGGGGGAGGGGGGGCTCACATGCCCAGGTGATCAGCTGGGATTTTTTTTTTTGAAAATACATCTTTAGCTACTTTGCAGCTTATGTCCTGTTTCTATCTTGTGTGAATTTTAACAGTCCTTTCTTCTGAGTGCTCTTCAGTCCTGCAGAGTGCCATACTAAGTACCAGTTCTCACTGTGCTCCTCTGGGATCTTGTGTTTCATTGTAGATTAATTTTGAGTGGACTTGCTTGTTGGTTTTGTCTCGTGCTCGCTGCTGAGTTGTTTGTCAGCAGCGTTCTGACCGAAGATTCCAAGTTGAATGTATTCAAATGGAGGTTTTCCTCACCTTACCAGATTACTGGCTGTCCCACTCTGCTAGTGTCCAAATGTAGTGTTTTAGATGGAAAAACAAGGCTCTTGCATCACCTATAGGCCAGTTAAAGGAACTTTAATATGACATATCTCTATAAGTGATGGTATCCCACAGAGACTTCTGTCATATTTCATTTAACCTCGAATAATAACTGCAAGCTTCAGTGCATTCTCAAGTAGCAAAACTAATCATTTCCTTGTGACATTCCCTCTGTTCTGGTACTATATTAAGTACCTAAGGAGTTCCTTGACTCCTTGAAAATGTGATGTATTTTAAGTTCAAACACTGCTGTTTTATAAAGGGTATTGACTTTCCTAGGGAATATAAGGATATGTTCTCACCAGACTTTTATTCATTCTTCATTGGCCAGATTCCTAGTACTTAGGATTGTTTCTTTTTGTTCTAGGAGTTTTAAAGCCAGCCATATCCTCATTTCTGGTGATGGCCTGGTGACCCTCTCTGGCCTGTCCCATCTGCATAGTTTGGTTAAGCACGGACAAAGGCATAGGGCTGTGTTTGATTTCCCACAGTTCAGCACATCAGTGCAGCCGTGGCTGAGTCCAGAGCTCCTGAGACAGGTCAGCTGTGGCTACTGCTCTTGTGTCTGTGCGTCTCAAATGTCTTTGAGTTTGATTAAAGGACAGTTGTGTCCTTGGTTTTTTGGTGAATGGCTGCCACAAGACCTTTTCTCTTCTCACACTTGTGTTAGGAATTTATACTGTGAAAGCGTGTATCAGGTAGATCTTGATTTTGTGCTTTGGGGGTTCTTTTCCATTGCTCCCCGCCCTTTATCAACAGACACTGTATACCACTGTGCTATTTGAACTAAGGCTTCCCATTGTGCTTACAGGATTTACATGGATATAATGTGAAGTCAGATATTTACAGTGTTGGAATCACAGCATGTGAATTGGCCAGTGGGCAGGTACCTTTCCAGGACATGCATAGGACTCAGGTAATACTCCTGAACTCAACTGTGACAGCTTTCTTAGGTCTAGATAACTTCCATTGAACATGTTTGTTGTAGACTCTAGAGCTTTATTAGCATTTTTGTATACATTTTACCTATAGATATTTTCCTTTCTCCTAGATGCTATTACAGAAACTGAAAGGTCCTCCATATAGCCCACTGGATGTCAGTATTTTTCCTCAGTCAGACTCTAGAATGAGAAATTCCCAATCAGGAGTAGACTCTGGGATTGGAGAGAGTGTGCTTGTCTCCACTGGAACTCACACAGTCAACAGTGACCGTCTCCACACGCCGCCGTCTACAAAAACACTCTCTCCTGCCTTTTTTAGCTTGGTGCAGCTGTGTTTGCAGCAAGATCCTGAGAAAAGGTAATACTGCTCATCTCTAACTAGCACAAAACATATGTGCTTCTCATCTTATAGTAGTTTTATGATATTACCCTTCCCATAAAATTCACATATTATTACCAAAAACTTAAGCTGGAGAATGTCAGTGCTAAGAACAAGTCAAAGTGATAAGCAAATCTGAAGCTCAGCTGGGCTTCTTTCTTTGCCATGCTCTTCCCAGCCAAGCTGCCTGTGCCATACCCAGCTGATTTGCCGTGTACAAGTCAGTTTTTAGTGTGTCTGTTAAGGCACCTTTGGAAGAAGTATAAAACAGTTTTGTGTGTATACACACACACACATACACACACAAACACAAACATGCCACTTACACACATTTTCTGATGTTGGGTTTTATTTTCTAATAACTTTTTCAAAAATTTCAGGCCATCAGCAAGCAGTTTGTTGTCCCATGTATTCTTCAAGCAGGTGAGCTGGTCCATTATCCGTTGTTTTAAATATTTTATAATATGACTTTTAAAAGCCTTTATTTAATTGACTTCATGAGACATTTGGGTTACAAAGAATTTTACTAATAATTTTCCTACAAAATAGAATTAAAGTAAGAACATGTTTTTAGTTGTTAATTTTTGGCTCATTTTAGTGTGTGTGTGTACATAGTGTATGTTCATGCATATGTCATAAGTACACTTGTGGTAGCCACTCTCTCGCTCTCTTGAGTGGACCCTAGGATAGAGCTCAGGTTTTCAAGTGTAGGCCTGAAACACCCTTGGCACCTCTGCCTGTTGAGCCATCTGATGGCCCTAATTATAGAACACCTAAAAAAAATTTTATTCTTAAAAAAGAAAAGAAGTAAAAGCATCATATCATGTTACACCCCCTATATTATCATCAACTTAAAACTTGTGTCTGTCTTACCCAGAAATAATGATGGAGCAGAATAATTCAGCTTAAGAATTAGATAATTTAGCTTTTAGCCTTTGTTTTTCTCTGATTGTCAGAATTAGAAGCATTTATAAGGAAAAGACCTAAAAATAATTTTAAAGTTTTATAATTTCTTTAAAAGTTATTTATTGCTTATAAAGTTTGTGTTGAGTCTCTGTACCCACATCACTGTTTGACGTCTCTTTAACAGATGAAGGAACAAACCCAAGACTCCATACTCTCACTGCTGCCACCTGCCTACAACAGGCCAGCAGCGGCACTGCCACCAGTGTCGCCGTGGAGCCAGCTGGAATTCCAGTTTGCTGATGACAAAGACCCAGACTGGGAATTCTAGGGTTGCCAAATCATTTCATGTCCTCTATACTTGACAGCCTCTCCTTGCTGCTTGTCTTCTGTCTTGTTAGGTACAAATGACAAATCTATACTTGAAAATACAGTTGGTGCACTGGAGAACTGATCAGTTAAACCACTCTGTTCATGGGGCATGGATTTACCCTCTCTGCCCAGATCAGAGCACCCGCACGACTTCACTGCCCAGCTCAGCTAGTGTCAGCTCGCTCTTCCTCCTCCCCCCCTTTCTCTTCTCTCCTCTCCTCTCCCCTCTCCTCTCCTCTCCCCTCTCCTCTCCCCTCCCCTCCCCTCCCCTCTCCCTCCCCTTCCCTCTCTCCTCTCCTCTCCTCTCCTCTCCTCTCCTCTCCTCTCCTCTCCTCTCTCTCTCTCTCTCTCTCCTGTCTCTCTCTCCTCTCTCTCCTCTCCTCCCTGTCTCTCCTCTCTCCTCTCAACTCTCCTCTTCTCTCCCTCTCTTCTCCCTCTCCATCTCCCCTCCCCTCCTCTCCTTTTCTTTCCTTTTATTTCTTTTCCACTTTCTAAGCTGTGACTGGTACTTTCTGGATCTCAGTGAAACTTTTGAGCTGGTTAATTTTCTTCTGCATTTTTCTGTTCTCTGAGGAATGAAACCTTCCTTAGAGGACAGTGCTTCTAGAACATCTTTTCTTCCGGATTCACTAGCCTTTTTGATCAGCTATTGTAAGATAAACAGGCTGGTTTATTCTGGTACAAAGTCCTTTTTTTGGAGAAGGGAAAATGTTTGTACTATCCCTTATGGCAACATCAAACTGAGCCTTGCTCATATTAAATAATTCACTTGAACTAAAAAGAGAAGATGTAGTTTGCATTTTAAAAGGGAGGGGGCTAACATAACACTTTTCTACCTGTGTAAATTATAGATCATTAATTCATGCACCCTGTGGGAGCTCAATAAAAATGTATTAAGTTGAACATATCTTTTATATATTTTGTGTGGCCTAACAAAGCTAGGACACAGATTCTAATTTGGTTTGCTGAGAGAATCTTTTTTTTTAAACATAATTTACATAACATAGTAAACTGCAGGCAATCTTGAGTAGCTCTTAGAGACAGATGGCGTTCTGGCCTTTTATGTGCTTGTTCCTGTAGGGGGTGAATCTTTAAGTTAGCGGTATTACCTCCCTAGCAGGAGATGTTGTGTGTTTTAGTTATATTTTGTTGTTATGATAAAATACCACAATCAAAAGAGTTGCAGAGGGCTACTTGTCCATAATGACAGAGAAGACAGCGGGGGCAGAGAGCTAAGATAGTCTATCTCAGCTACATCACAACAAGCAGAGAGGGGGAACTAGGACTGGGGCAAGACTACAAACTCTCAGAGCACCCTCTGCAGCATACTTCCTCCAGCAGGGCAGAGAACATCACCAAAAAGGTGATTAGCAACACCAACTAGGTGTTCAGATACATGAGCCCATAGGGCACATTTTTCATCCAAACTAGTACAGTGTCTCAAAAATGGTTTGTAACTGAACTTGAAATAAATTGGGGTCTATGTCAGTTGTTTTCCGTAATCTATATGACTATATAGATTGGAACTTAATCAAAGTGACTATATTACATTGGAAGTTATTGTAAAATGATTGTCTTAAGACCAAATAGGCAGTTTGAAGCAATTCTGTTCATGTCTATTGGCTATACCTCTGCCTCAAGTATGAATGTTAGGGCTTCTCTATCAACACAGCTGTCAAGACCTGCTGAGGTGGGAAGTGGAGGTGAGAGAAATTATAGTGGGCCATAGATGGGGGAGAGGACAGGGCCACTGAGCACTGAGAGCAGCTGCCATAGAGGGGGAGAGGACAGGGCCACTGAGCACTGAGAGCAGCAGTGGGAGTTGTCATCCCACTCCGTGCCTTAGCATCTCCCAATCTGAGAAGGTCCTGCATGTGTAAAATGCCAAAGGTAGACGGGGTTGTCATGAAATGTTGCCTGTCAGAGCTCCTACAGTAGGTGTATTAGGACTTGGCTCATGAGATTATGGAGGCTGACAAGCTTCAAGGTCTGCCAGATGAGCTAATGACCAAGGGCTGACAGTAAAGTTCTAGCCTAAAAGCTATCAGGCTTTATCTAGGCTAAGACAGTGTTGAGTTTGAGTCCAGTGGCTATGAAAAGCTAACTCCATGTTCAAAGTTGGGCAGGAGGGTTATGTTATTGGGGGATGTTATTAGAGATAATAATAGCATTTGATTAGGGAAAACTTCAAAGATATCCATGGTAAAATGTTTTAGAAATACTGCTTGCGAGTGACAATGTTGTCATAAAACTTCAGTGGGGTACAGGAATTTGAGATTTCCATCTAGGAAATACGTCTTTGCTAAAGCCAGACCAGTGGTTTTCCTCCTTACCATTGACCAGTGGCCTGCTACCTCTCAATTCTTTTCTTCACTCTCCTCTGCTTCACTGCAACTATATTTCTTCTGCTTACCTTGTTCCTCTGGCATCTAGGGCAGAAACAGCTAGGATGTCTTTTGTTCTGAGCTGGGGAGCTGGGTCTCACAGTGACCTCACCTCTGGTTCTCCTGGCGGCAGCTGCCTCTTCCTTTGCTGAAGTCTTTGGGAGCACTGGGAGCACTTCTTGTTTTTACTAGCTTTGGGCCTTTCTCACTGCTTCTTTTGGCTTCTGAGCCTGGACCCATCATTCAATAAAATAAGTCCCTGCATTCTTTCTCCCTGGAAGAGCAGTACATGATATTAAAATGAACAAAAGTTCTGTCAGCTCAGAGAACTATAGACTATTGAATCTAGAAATATAACTAGCTCAAAGTAAAGTTTCTTTGCTGAGCATAGACAGATGCAAATGGAGAACTAGCAAACTAGGCGGTCGCAGTAACCAAGTGCCACAAATGCTGAGGAACTTAAAGACTACTTCACCCCAAAAGAGGAGCCACTGGGGTGCAAAACTTTGCCTATGAGCAACAACTGAATATACATTTTTTTAGTATGTTCTGGAAGGTTTATAAACAAAAACACGTTTACGTAGAATGTTTATTTTTCACTTTAATTATAACAAAATGGTCTAACAAGATGAAATTTAGTTGCTGACTTCTATCACACAAGGATAGATCTCCAAACCATTTTGTTAATGGAAAAATTATAGTCTGACTGGTGGCCTCACATATCATTCTGCAGTGTCTAGCATCTGGATAATCTCACTAATGAGTGGACGCTTTTCAATATCCTCTTTTAATTTTCGTTTGGATCGCATTTTACGGATTTCATACTCTGGGGTGGCATGTAAGTGAACTAAGCCCGCTGAAACCATCCGAGGACTTGCAAATTTCCAGGCGGCACTTTCTCGTCGTTTGTTAGGCTCTGGAGCAGTGTATGGTCGTGCACAGTGTTTTGCCTGATTATGGGAATCATCTGGACTCTTGCCTAAAAGTCTTGCTCTTGATTTTGATTTTTTAGGACATTTAACTGAGGGTGCATGTAAATCGTCGAATCTATCCAAACAATCCTAAATATTGAAACAAAACATCAAATTGGTAAGTTAGGCTTCTTAAAAACACATTGTTTCATTATAAGGACTCTTTGTAATAGCAACAGTTAAGAAATGAATGCCCTGATATCTCCTAGGCAGTTCCAATGCTGCTCTGTACCCAGCACTTGCCACTAGATACTCTCTTACAAGTCATATTTAAAAAACAAACGAACAAACAAACAAACCAAACCAAAAAAAAAAAAACCTTCATCTTTTTAGAAGACTTGCTGCTTCAAAAGTGTAAAAGATATGAAACTGAGACTCAGACATACTTAAAGAGCTGTCCTCTAGTGTCAGACTCAGGCAAAGCTGGTCAGCCTAGTCTATAGTTCTTCTAGTCCAAAATATCTTTCCCATGGCCTCACATATAAATTATCAATATTGATATTTTACTTTTATAGCATCTAAACTTGTATTGATCAGTCTATACAAGTTAATTTAATAACCATCTTAGTATATGTATTCATATATATATGCACATAGGTACAGTATAACATTCAAGAATATGATTGTAATATTTGTTTCTATGGGACTTAATCTCAGTATATAGTCTGAGCTGGCTCTTACTCAATCTTCCTGTCTCAATCTTAGAATCCTATTAGGATTCTAAGTGTATATCACCATCCCAGCTTGATTATTATGTTTATATTAAAAATAATTTGCAGCCTGGGCTGTGGTAGCACATGCCTATAGTCCTAGCACTCAGAAGGCAGAGGCAGGTAGATCTCTGAGCTCCAGACCATCCTGGTCTATAGAGCAAGTTCCAGGATAGCCAGGGCTACACAGAGAAACCGACTCAAAAAACCAAAATAGGCCAGGTGGTGGTGGCACACGCCTTTAATCCCAGCACTTGGGAAGCAGAGGCAGGTGGATTTCTGAGTTCGAGGCCAGCCTGGTCTACAGAGTGAGTTCCAGGACAGCCAGGGCTGTACAGAGAAACCCTGTCTCAAAAAGAAGAAAAAAACCAAAATAGTAATAATACCAAAATATATAAAAATTATTATGTATTATGTCATATATAACATAAACATTAATAAATATATAAGTATATTATAGTTTTATTATATATGATTTGGGTTTTATAATTTTAACAATAATATTATCATTTGCAAAGTATAGTCCCATCACTCAGAGGGTAGAGGAAGGAGGCTTACCATGAGTTCAAGAACACCAAAATAACAAGAGGGGAAAAGTAACAGTTCTCCTCTTAATACATTTTGTGGCTTTATTTTAAAATAAACATATGAAGATCTACATGTACCCCCTAAAAGGGTATGGTGCTGTTAGGTATTCAGTGGTGTGAGTTAGTTTATTCACACAGTGGTTCATCTTCTTTGTGGGGGTGGGGTATGACAGCCATCCACAGGAATGGCAGCTTTGCTGAGAGGTAGGAGTGGACTAGTTGAACTGTAGGTCAGAAAGGTTGGGTAGGACTAGTAAGGATTTGAATAACCAGAGAGATAAGACACTTATCCTCTCCTATCCTTTGGGGGGGTGAGGGGTGGACAGGATCTTACACTCTAGTCCACACTAGCGTGGAACCCACTGGCTTGGAGCTCACTGTGTAGTGTAGGTTGGCCTAAAACTTGACATCATCTGGCCATTGGAGTGCATGGTGTATGTACCATGCTTAGTGATTCTTTTTCCTCTAGTGTGGGTGGAACAAGCCCAATTTCATTTTTAAAGAGAGTTTCTGCTGCTTTAATAATTATTAACAACTTTAGCTCCACAGCTAATAGCTAGGGCATCCAAGGAAGGACATGAGAGCCACACCACTGGTTCAAAAGAAGTGCCTTCTGTTCCTAGATTTT